GCGTTGGCCTACAGCTGCTGTCACAGAAATTACAGCTGTGACTGGTTGAAAAGCATGTTTTGCGAATGCATCTACAAATAAAGGTGAACTGTTTCTACCTGATCGTTCGACCGGACGAAAACCCAGAATAAAGTCGAGAATGACTGACATGAATTCTTCGAAGAACTCTGCTTTATTCTGGGTATCTCTCGCTGAATCTCAGATGCTGGCACAGACTCGCAAACGTTACAGACATTTTCTGGAACGTTAAGACTGTTTGAGATATCTGAAAGAATAAGCGGTCTTTTGAATAGGGATAGCGATTATTGCTCCTTAAAATTCAATGCAATAAGTAGTTGCAGCTTGTAACTGAAAAATGCAGCCTTGATGCCATTTTCAACAGCTTTAGACATGTTTCCGTAACTGGTCGCATGCTTCGTCTATCATGTTGTGCAATTCTACATAGTGTGATGACTTTGAACCACATTATTGAAAATTGGAACTCAAATAGCTTATCTAATAAATAAAGTCAACTACCGTTTTTTAAAGAATAGCATTCTATCAAGCCAGTGGCAACGAACTTATCACTTACCCCTCGTCAACAACTCATTACTTCGACAACTATGAATAAATCACACTTACGAATCTATTAAGGCCTAACCAAATAATGAAACTTTTTTATTACAATTTGTTTACAAATTTGGAATTTCTAATGCTTCAGTATGGTTACCATGGAGAGAAGCTTCTCCAAAATATCACGTTCATTCAAAAATAACGCGGCGAATACTGTGTATGTGTACGTAGTTATCTTTCTTCAACTTTCCTACTGTTTCGCTGGTGTGCTATTGCAAGCGGAACAGCGATGTTCTTGGGCAGTGGTTAACTAGTTTGCATTTCACAGTACTTCTGATGGGATATCAGATGTTATTTTTTCTAGCAGTTTAATTTATTAAGCCATTGATGTATGTAAATTATTATCACATATGTCTATTTAATCATTTTGTAACAACCTTCCTACCTGTCATTATTTGTTCTGAAGATTTTTTGGCAAACGAGTCAGGAATGTGCCCTTGGTTTTTTGATTTTTTAGGTGAGAATACGTTGTGTGTATTTTGATTTCATTGAGTAACAAAATTTTAGAAACTAGCTTTGACAGATTTGCTTGAAATTGCAATGTCTCTCGGCTTTTTAATGAAGGTAGATTCGTCATTTTCTGGGAAGGCACTTTAGGCCGAATCTAGTTATATCATTGTTTAAGTTTATCACGAAGTTTAAGTTTATCACGAAGAATTATAGTATAGTTTATACATGTTGCCACGTGGTAATCGGTCGGTTCCGGTGCAGACTGAAACTGATTGTTCAGTCCCAGGTGGAAGTCTTTTGCCGCTTAATGACCTGTTATTTCAGCCTGAGCGGCGTTGAACCATACGTCAACATAGTGTGCTACTAACCAAGTCAGCCTAACGAAAGCATGTACTTAGCCCAAGCGTTTAACATTTGAAAGTCTTACGTTCTGCATAAGATTTTTGTAACATTCACAGTATGACAGCAGGTGCTCAGATAAAATCAAGCCGCGGCCTACTTAAATGACCCCTTGTGGTCAGTGAGGGATCGGTACGATACGCCATGGATATTGTCTTGGAGGAACTATTCATCATTTGGCAGCGGTTTATTATAGTCATACTATTACGAAATCGACCATTTAAGAAAATTTTCAGATTCGTGAACTAAAAGTTTAGATAACTGAAAAGGTTTGACTGCATTTATATAGTGATTACAGAAAATAATGAATGGTGACATCGTCTGTTGCACAAAATTGCTGTGGCAACGTGTCACCTTTATCATTTAATTGAGCACTATCTCTCAGAGAGCAAGAATAGGAAGGAAAATGTAATCGCTGGAATGCGGGTCCTCTTTACTCTTTTATGAATGAGAAATTTCTGATTCTCTTCCGTTCATGAAGTTAATGGTGGATCACTGACCTTTATTTTTATGCAATCAATCAGGCGTGCCTTGTTTTAGAAGCAGTGTCGACAGCAGTTATGTGGCTAGCGTACTGTCTAGTCGCCCGTTTCCTTACTACAGAGTGCTGTTAATTTATCAACCTCAGAAATAGAAAAGGCGGGTGCCCCAAAAGATGTTCGAACTCTGGCAGCTCGTTTCTGAGTCTGTGCAGTCCACATCTGAGATGAAGTACATCACGAATTTGAAGGTTTGAAGTTTAAAGCTTACTACTTGAAGAGGGTCTGAGCAGACTCCATTTTTCAGCATAGTCAAGACGAGATAAATAAATAATAGTATAAACGGATAGTTGATAAATAAGGTTTTAGACACAGTGCCTAGAATTAATGTGGACGATGTCTCATAGTAGATTAGAATGTTTCGTTCGTGCGTTAGATCATATAGAGAAAATAGCGTAAAACACGGTTTAATTATACACAGCGCCAAAGATAGTATGGTCAAGCCGGTGATTGGGCAATATCGACGTTTCAGCTCGTGTCGCACAGGTCTTTTTCAAAGTAGGTTGGTGGTGAAGTTTCGTGAATGAGTTTGGTCATCCGCAGCAGTCGGTTCACCGACAAATGCGCGATAGACATATGCGTGCCGACAAAACCGCTAATTGATTTTCGACAATAGCGCGCCGACAAAATCGCGTCATCAAGAAACTACAGACAGCCCTTTGAGTATGCTGGGCCTTTAATATATTGGGACGCGTGTACGTACGTTATAATGCAGTCAGGACGCACCAGTTGAATAATACGTTTTAGTCATACTGAAGCCATGGATATTATTAAGTCACAGAAAGGAAAACAACAACTGCTGTATGAAGGATATCGATATCGACGCGACAAGCAAGTTAAATCAAGATGGATCGTCTTCGTGGAGGTGCATCAAAAGAGAGTGTGCCGGCAGACTTAAGAAGAAAACAGACGGGACGTTACAAACAAGTACTGAACGCATGCACGCTCGAGATACCGCAAAAAATAAAAGTGAAAAAATAAAAGCGACTATAGGCGAACGAGCTGAAAATGGTGTGGATAAACCTCGTCAAATTATTGTGAACAGCACAGCAGAAGTCTTGCTGGAAGCAGCCATCTTTTGCCTCATATTCAGCAATCCAACGGACTGTTGAGCGGAAATGAAAGAGGCCTGATATCGGCAATCGTAGGCCACATTCTGTTCAAGACATTATTCTTCCGGAAACTATGAATGTAACAGCACGTTGTGAAAATTTTCTTCTGTGGGATTCGGGTGATCAAAACACAAACAGAATGTTCATGTTCGGCACTCAAGGTAGCTCCCAAAATATTTCTGCAGGTATTTACAATACATGCTTTAATTGATAGTCGCTCAATTCCATTAATATATGTGCTCATGAGAAAAAAACAGGCTGACTCAGAGAGTTTTGCGCAAAGTGATTGCACTGCGACCATCTCTCACGCCTGTCAGCATTCTGATTGATTTTGAACAAGGACCTATGAATGCACTGGTAACAGTACTTCCACGTGCTACCGTGATTTGGTTGTCTGTTTCACCTTGGTCAGTCATTATGGCGTTGTATACAAAACGAAGGCTTATATAATTTGTATCGCCATTAAACTGTACTCAAAAATGGTAATTGCAATGAGTTTTGTTCCTCCGGAAGATGTTGTGTCCACCTTCGACGAACTGAAAGATAGTAGACCAGACAATCTTCAGATTGTTTATGATTACTGGGAAGACAATTACGTTGTCGTTTGAGACGCAATCGACGAGCTAACCCGTTGTTTCCTATCACTACGTGGAACATGCCAGGTCATGTTGCTGATGGCTTGCCGCGAAAAATTAACTCAGTCCAGGGTTGGCATAACGCGTTCCAGTCGTCTGTACCATGCCACCATCCAACGATTTACGCGCTGGTTCATCATTTCCGTGGTGAGTCGTGAGCAAGACTTAACAGAACAAACCATCAGTCGTATACAGAGCGGAATTACCAACAGTCGGGTAGCAAGCAAGTCTAAATACATGCAACTATCAAGACGTCTTGCTGCAATTCTTCTTACATATGCAGGGCATGATATTAAGGAATATCTGCGTGCCGTATGTCATAATATTAACATCTGAATGAATTAAAACTATTTAGTGACAAAAGTTTTTGTTGAGTTTTATAATAGTGTACGGTCACATTGAACTAATACGCTAATCAAACAGTATCAGTAATTTTTTCGATTTATTGTGCTTGTCATCGCCTTTTGTCGTCGCGTTTTAATCGGAGCGGTTTTGTCTATATGCGCATGTCTGTCGTGCAATTGTCGGGTCACGCAGCAGTCCATAGTTTTGGAGCCAAAGGGCAAGCCTTCGGTTTGTGTAAACTGTTTTTGGGCGGCAGGGGCAACAAGACTCATACAATCCGCGCATAGTTTGTATCCTTTGTCAAGGTTGACTTTTTCGCAGGACTGGATGATTAATGCCCCTTTTACGCGCCTTTGTAATCATTGTCCCTCTTTGATGATACCGCTACACTCAGACCATCAGACCAACGAAGCACTCAATAAACTATGCCACTCTCCCAGTAAGATCAAGAAACAACGCGAGAAGACCTCTGGTATTGTGCAGCATGCGATCAAGCAAGGATATCTCTGTATATCTAATATCTGATGGTTATTTTCTTGTTTATTGAGGTCATTACCTTAATCCGTTCGTGCACATTGAACATTTGTGTTTTGTGATGTTCGCTGTATTCGCATTTCTTCAATACCTAGAGAAAGGCACTGGTTACTGTATTGTACAAAGCAGAGAAGATATGCATACGTTCTCCATGAATAGACGATTAAAAATTCTCCACTCATATAGATCTCGCACCCTGGTCGTCATGGCTTAAATGCGATCAGCAAGCACAGCCGACTTTCAGTATTGATAAAATACAAATAGGATATATCAGATAAATACGATTGAATCTAAATTTATACAATAAGCAACGTATCTGACGATCAGTTAAATATGAATACCAGAAACTTGTCTTCACTTTTATTTAGCACACAATGGCAAACGCAGAAATCGAAGACGTGTTCCTCGACTTCACGTTTCCCGTTGATCCGGCTCCAGGTCTGACCGATGTTTTGACCGTATGCGTGTCATTTAATTATTTTTGTTTTAGGGAATTATTTCGCCAGATTTGTAAAGCCCATTGAAGCCATTCTTGCAGCGGTCACATCAGCCAGCTGGACCGTGTTATGTCAAGAAACGCAGACTACCCTGGACTTTGGCAGTGCCCTTTTTACGGCTGCCAAATGGTACATAATTTGTAGCGAGTTTCATTAATTTTGAGGTTGAGACGTTGTTTATTTTTTAGCACCTGTTTGGCGTCATTTTATTTCGACGCAGGTCTGGCGACGTTTAGTATACAGCAGAAGAAGTCCACGTCTCTGTTCGATTCACAGACGAGCAGAAAACTTGTAGAGCTATTGGAAGCTCGGATGAAATTTGTTTTGATTCGTCGGTAAGTATATGCTTCTGCAGAATTAGCGAGTCTAGCCATCCAAGCATACAATCTGTTATTTGGGTAATTATCTAATCGACGTATCAATTTGTTTTTGAGGCATTTTGTGAGCGGGGGAGGGGGCGTTACTTCAGTTGTATGCGCTGGATTCGCGGAATCGAATGGACAACAACAATAACAGTTTATTGTTTAAGCTGCAACACGAATGCCACTTTTCAGAATCCTCGTTGTTTCACGCATTTCATCCTTCAAAGCTGAATAAGTGAGTACCACATAGTGAATCTAAAACAGCAGGGTATGCGCCATAGTGTTTTGTAGCTCTATATATTCCTGGCAGTTGGAATCGAGATATATATATCAACACACTGTTATATACTCCATGAAACAAAATAAAGCGAATAGGAAAGTTAGTATACAATGGGACGTCGGTCTCCTTTGAACTTTCTTGTTTATCGACATCCTTTCGATATGTTTACGACGCACCGCTTTTGCTCCTATCAGCCAGAAATTTCATTGTTTTCTGAAGGCAACGTCTCCACTACATAGCCGATATAACGTACACTGTCTTGCTTGTTTTCTACGTAATGATACCTCATTAATCTCCTACAGAGTGAAGGAAAACAAGTTTTCCTGCAAGGGAGAAAACATACTTCATTATAAATCGGTATCAAAATGTTACAACAGAATTACGTAAGCAACTGATTATCCAAACTATTGAAATTCGATCAACTAGCATATATAAAATAACGATGTCCTAACATTAGCATAATATATGGGAGGTTGACATCCAAAACTGCTACAGTTTTCTTTCCTTTTGATCAATTATTTTTTGTAGAACATAGTTACTGTTACCTGTAACCGGTGACAGCAAATTGTACTACCTTGAAAAAGCAGACACGTGTTTCAGACCGATACGTTGCTTAGTGGTTTATTCATCGACGGATTGCATTGCATTCTGTTTGTTATACCATTGCTTTCTTGTTCGCTGTGCGATGGTAGACATCCAGCGCAGACTTCTCAGGGTTTGACTATTTAAGCCACTGTTTACAGTCCGTATTTTGTTCAGAGAATACACACCATTGGAAACTGATATATGCTTCCCTGGGAGTTACAAATGGTGGTCCCCAGTTATTAATTACATTGAAGCCCGTTGTCGACAATTTTAAACACAGTTTGAGATTCCATTAGTCCTTCGCTGTTAGCTCAGCACTGAGGTCTTTCATATTTTGCCACGAAGTGCAAGTTCATTCATTAACTATTACCCGTTCTCAGCAACTTGGGTGAGATAATGAATTTGTAAAGAATTACGACAGTAGCCGCCTTTAGAACGGAAATATTACTACTGATCCATTATCAGAAGTGGGGATACTCTGGGCAATGCATCTCCACTTCAGCATGGCGGAAAGGTGGCTCAATGATATAGAAGACTTCGCACTGTCGCGTGTTGTAATGCAGACCACGGAATTTATCAGTTTTTCTGATTACCACAGCAATTGGAAAAGCCTCTGGGAATAGGTACCCTCTCCGAATACCCGCACAGAATAAAGACGTTTGAAAGCATATGAATGAATCAGAAAACTCTTTTGTACTTCAAGCTTAGTTTCATTCTGTTTGCTTGTCATCTCGCGGTCACTAAAGTCTTGTTTTAGAGAGATTCGCATGCCACGGATATCCAGAGTACCGCAGCTGTTCCTCACAAGCGATCAACGACTGTGTGTGTACAACTTTGATAAAGTAGTGTATGAGGGCAATAGTCAGTACCAAAATATCAAGGTACTGCATTCGTTGGAATTCGGAAACGTACTGTTGCTGGATGATCTCGTCAGTAAGATCTGGGCTAGCTAGCTGTTGATCGACTGACCACCGTCGGTCATCCTTTAGATCTGGCTGAAACTGATCTCGTTTATACACACCAAATAATGTGGAAGGACGTCATCTCGTACGCCAACAAGGACGTTCTGATACTTGGCGGCGGAGACGGCGGTATTCTGAACCAAGTCTTAAAAGAAATGCCACACTACGTTCGGATGGTCGATGTAATTACTGCTAGTTTTATTTTATACGATATTTTTATGCAGTTTTTTATTACGACCTCCTGTATTTTACTTGGCATTTTAGATAGACAGCGTTGTCATAGAAGTGTGCCGAAAATTCCTGAGAGGTGCCTGCGGTAGCTGTCTTGATTTACCTAAAGGTGATAACTACGAGGTAGGTGAGATTGCGCTGTTTATTTTTGTTCTGGGGACAACACGTAAGCAGGGATGTTATGTTCGCTTCGGTGGACTCACATTTTAAAGATTGCGGACACGAATCCCTTTGAACTGCCCGCCTCTCAGCATTCCCAGGTCGATGAAGAAATATGGTTAGGCGATATGAAAGCATATCACTACGAACTGTAGTAGCAACCAAACTCTAAATGCTGTTTTCAGTAATGAGGATCTCTGCTTGATGATATCATAATGGAGGTGAATGTCACTATGTTGGAATGAATGAAAGATGCGACAATTGACCGTCGTGATAGGAAGGGGGGTCGCAGTGATACTAGAACTTGACTAAAGTTCATTAACGCAAAATTTGAAATTGTTTTAGAATCATTGTAAATTTTTCAGCTACATTATGGGTTATTCACATAAACATGGAGGTATCTTATACAGCGAAACTTGGCTCAAGGATAAGGTGACACTATATCAGATCTCATGTCCGTGGCTTTCGTTTTGTTATTTGTGGGAACATTTTTATTCATGCCTATCGTAGGAATCAAATCCAATGTGAATTTTTGTCCACATGCTCTTTTCGGCTGCAAATGTACACAAATGTAAACGATGAATGTATTCGAAATAATATATACAGTGGCCTAGTGGTTAGGAGTTAGCCTCAGCTTTCCTCTTCACTGTAGTATTTTCTACAAAATAGCACTGAAAATGGCATGTTGGACTGGTGTTGCATTGTACAGTACCTTACTGGACAACAATAATGAATGTCTGCTAGCTGACTGAAGTGAAAGGGGCCTTACATCTGAAATTCATGAAGTCTCATCGACAACGCTGAGAAACTGTATCGTATTGTTGACAACGGTGAGACGACGGTGCACCATGGAAACAGCTTAACTGAAGATGTCAGAAGAGGCGCTCGCATTAGACAGCATAACCATCCCTCACACTTTGTGAAAAATGGACCACGCCAGAAAACGATGCATGCTTACCCCAATATCGCAAGTAAGCGAGTTTCTCTCCGTTACTCTACTTGTTGCAGCGAAACAACATGACGCAAAT